CAGCTGATCTGTGTTGACAAACTACCAGGCAAGCAGGTAGAGATAACTCGTGAGATGTAAGAAGCTTTTACAAAACTTATCTGAATGCTGATTATATACACATACTATACCTGGCAGCTCTGGGCACTTGAAGATTTGCCTTTAAGACAGAAGCGTCTAATACCAACCTCCAAAATGTCTTGCACAACTCAGTGGCTCTATTGCTTGGATGCTTGCAAAACAGCGTTGAGACATGGGAAGTCACAGCTTTCCCAGTACCTTGAGAACAGGCTTAACACAAGGCAGGTCAAAGGAAATATAAAGAATGAATAAATGTTTTAAAATCCAAATATAGACGAGGCAGTAACACAGGAGGTTACAGAGAGGGAAAGGAAATAAAACTACCTTCCAGTTATGTATTGCAAGACTGAATCTTTTATTGGCTCCACCTGTTACAGGACCTACCCATGTTACCGAAACTCAACCCTGTCAGGTATTTAAGAGCTTACTGTGCTCTTGTTGGGGTGGGGTGGTGAACATCCTATACATGTAACAATTCTGTGTAAAGCCTTTTTATAGGCTGCAACTTACATTTCACATAAAACGTACCTGACATTTGCACTTACATGCTGCATACTGACACAAATGGCAGTGGCTTATTTCTGCCCCTTGTTTCAGACTGCAGCAGTAATCACTGCTCCAGGGGCGATACTAGGTCCTGGACACTGAACTGCAACGCTGTTTCTGAGAGATGGCATGGCTACACTGCCACACACTCTTACAGAGAAATTACCATGCAGGATCGTTTTGAGGGTCTGCAGAACTGGCTGACAGGGTTTTTTAAAAGTGGTGAGTCATTACCTAACAGGAGTGTTCTTTTGGTCTTCCACAGGGACTGGTATTTCAAGTCCGGGGGCTAATTTATTCAGCAATTACATAAATGTGAATCAAAACTGATTAAAATTTGCAGATGACAAAGAATGGTGAATAATAAGGACATAGCAGCTCTGCAGTGTGATTTAGAGTACTTAGTAAGTCGAGCACATTTAAATATTTCAGAGCAGCAAATTGCAAATTATACTTAAGCGCAAGAAATATAAACCACACTCATAACAGTCTGGCAAGCAGTATTGCTAGAAGCATCGAGAGATCACAAATAGATGGGTAACTTGACTCTATTTTCCAGCGCAATGCTGCAGAAGAGCTAATTTTATCTTTGAATGTTTAGCCAGAAGGACAATGCTTCAGAGGAAGGATGCGATTATACCACCAAGGTGGTATTGGAGAGAATGGACACGCACTTCTGATATCTACAGCTGAAACAAGGCATCGAAAATTCAGAGACAAGCCACAGAAATTATTTGAAAAATAGAGGAAATACCCTACTGCAGAGGACATGATATAATCCAGTTAGCTGGTAAAAAATGCAACTGAAAAGCGATTTCACTGCTGTGCTTATTACCTTCACAGACAGAAGATCATAGCAAGAACCAATGGCAAAAAGCTGCCTTCTCCCTGGATCTGCCAGTTACAGGTTTCAATGGCTGAGATTCACCAGAAGGCTGCAGCTGACGGGGGGAGAGAGGCAGCAGTAACAGGATGGAGATTTGGAGGCAATGAACCAGACACTGCAGTTAGCACTAACCATCTGTAGCATTAATGTAGGTTTCAATAATAACATTTTTCAACAAAAATGAATGTTAAAAATCTAGAAATACATCACACTTCAAAATTATCTTAAAACACTCAGCAAACATTTATTATAAACTCAGTGAGGAAAATAAATGAAGTCTCATAAATTACAAATATCATCATAATATCAATCATTATTAATATTTTCTGGCAAGCTGTGCTGTAGTGTAATATAAACCTCCTTATTTAGTATTTCACATCAGCAGCCAAAAGCAGTTGATTATTTTGCAATCCTAACCTTAACAATTCATTGAACTTTTCAAGTTTCCATGTTTTTTGACACAAAACCTAAGAAATTAATTCATTGATTTCATAGGACTTAATTATTGTCATATCCTAAGGAACAGTACAAGCTGTTATTTCCCACAGATGAACCTCACTTAAACTCAACTGGACTCTCAGAAAAAGGTTAAGTTGTGAAAAATGTTGCTACCCCACTTATTGCCCTATCCTACCACTTGTAAGATTTAAATCTATCTCCTTGCTAAAGGAGAACAGATTGTGTAAGGTTTTGTCGTGCCTTGTCAAGAGCCAAAAACTGTCACCTGTATGATGCTTTTTTCCCTATTGCACAAAAACCTCTTAGTTTTCAGAACTACACATGCTCTATAGTCTCTCTAAATATGGAAAAAAAAAACAAACAGTGAAGTCTTATTTAATAAAGGCCTAAAACCTCAGAAATGTAATTGCCTAACATAGTTCTTAATATGCATAAAAGATACATAGTAATGAGGTCATTTACTAGCCAGCATCATGTTCAGTAATGAATACAAGGTTCTGCATTTGAAAAGGTGCTGGGGTGGTGGCAAAATGCAGGTCTATCAGAGTCCTGCAGCGAAACAAACCTATGGTTTTCAAACGCAAGTTCCTGTGTTGAAAGAGGTCCAGTGGACACATTTTTTCAGCAAAAAATACATTTCTAAAGCACAGCTTGCATAATTCTCTAGGGATTTGTTAAAGAAAGAGGATCAAAAGCAATGATGTGATCACGTTCTACTGTAAGGATGTATGTAAAATAACCCAAAAACCTGAAGGAGCAGTGTGTGTCAGAAAAATATGGATTCAAGTAATGAAAAAAAAGAATGGAAAACTCACCCCATGCACACTGTACCTAAAAAGATGGCATAAGTAATGTGTTAAAATTACATTCATTATTTTCAAAACCTCTTGAAGAACAGAATATACATCCTAACTTTGTAAGTCATCCTATCAAACTTCTAGTGCTCTGATTGAGCTCTCCAATAGCTGAGGACACACCAAGCTTTTACAAATACCTTTACTAGAGTGTTTAAGCAATTGGCTCACAGTTGTACACAATTTTGCGACAGTGCTTGTATAGGCATAAGCCAGCAGGCTGAGAACCAGTGAATAGAATTCATATACACAGGGAAAATCTGAAGCACTGAAAGCTCCTTGTATTTTAGGCTAGGGGTTCAGTAAAATAAAGCGAAGTATAGCCGCGGCTGCACAATGAGAGTGGGAGCTGACAAAGCAAAGAAGATAATGGCCATCTTTGAAATTTGATTAAAGACGTCACTTCCACCCTGGAGAGTTCAGGCTGACAGTACATACAGATTTGGGAAGTCTTAAGTACCAGTCCCCGCTAAAAATTGAGCAATATAGGGATTTCGGCTTCCATTCACCTGCCACAGTCAAGCATTTTTACATCCTTTTAGAGGGAAGGGGAAGAGAAAGCACAACAAATTTCAACGGGGATACAGATGGAGAAGTAAAAGCTTCTACAAAACACTTGCAGAAGAGGAATCTGAACCACTCCCACATCTCAAATAATATTTTAATCACTCTGAAGATCATTAACACCTTGTTTTTTTGTTACAAGCCTGATCTCATCTGCACTTTCACAGGAGTGCCTGTTTTGAGTATTACACCAGACTGCATGTGGAGCAGCATGAAAGTTGAGGTGGTCCTGAGTAAGGAAAACACTGTAAGCATCTCTAAAGGACTTAGATGGTAGACGAAGTGGTATTTGAAGTCTGAAGAGCAGCTGACATTAAAATACAAAGTGCAAGATCTTTACAAGCGTTTAAGCCCTTCTTAAATACTTCCACTGTTATTTCCTGTGCAACAGACAAATATGTAGAGTAGATTCAACAATATTAGACTACTGCTTCTATTACTAGTACAACCCAAGTAGATTTTGAGATTCTAGTTTGTGAAAGCTGTAGCTTAACCTGAGAATGCACTTGGCCCAAAAGTTGTCACTACACTGAGTAGCTATATATCCACGTCCTTCAAAACACAAACCAGCAGAATTTACAACATGTTCTCTATTTCCATTTCTTACTGCTGTCTCTAAGTAGTTTACAGATGGAACTGTTGTAGACCATACTACCAGAAATAATGCTTCTTCATTAAAGCGATGAACAGAGTAAGACGCTATATCCTACGTGTTTTTTATCACAACTTTGTATTAAAAAACATATGAAAGGTATAATACACGCATCAAACCAAACCACATTTATTTCATCTGTCACAAGTGCAAATATAGCAACAAGTCAGTTCAGCAAATTACAACATACAGAGAAGAATATAATATAAATGCTAAGTACGCTGACAGACCAACTTCAAAAGAGCAGCAAAAAACAGTTTCTTCAAATAAAAACTTCTATTCTTTATACCTGTAATCTAAAATAACATAATAAGTCTAGATCAGGAATGTCTCTGTAACTTATGTTTAGCCAGATATTCTGTTATTAACAGTTCACATTATCCAGTGTGCAAATGGCCTGTCCATGTTTCCTATTAACAGATGTTTTGGTTTTAAGTAACTTTTACCCAATATTTAAATAATACAGTGCTGACACCAGTTAATATGTTCTGCTATTTGATATTACAAATTTAAGAATATATATTTAAAAAAGCTAAGTCCAATTTCAGTGTACATATATAATTCTACCTGGATCCAAAGTGGGCAACATTAAAGATAAAATTGATTTTTTAAAAAAAAAAAAAAAAAAAAAGGATAGAACAAAACCTTCTCATTTTTTTTGTGTTCCTGTGGGGTAGCACAAACTTTTCTATACAAAGAAACCTGTAATAAAGAGCTTTAAATACGAGGAAAGGAAAGCTTCAATTCAAATAGAAAAATGGCTTAATAGTTTTCCTGGTTACAATTAAAAGGAGTTTTGTTCAACTCACTGTCCACAGTCCATGTAATTATCGCCTGAAATAATATTTCAATAGAGTTGAACCACATAATACAGCTTCTTTACCCTGATAATTAACAAGGTTAAATGTCATTAAAAAAAAAAAAAAAAAAAAATATCAAAACAGAAAAAAAAAAAAATTGATTTTTTAAAAAAAAAAAAAAAAAAAAAGGATAGACACAAGTCATCTCAGTTTTTTTGCATCATCTTTAAATCTGTAGTTAAAATATATGCAGTACTTACATATAAAATAGAAAGCATTCCCATTAGGAAGATACTGCAGTGTAATTAGCCATTTTTCCCTACCACTTAGTAGCCAAGGAACAAGATTTACGCTTAACACCCAATCACTATTTTGCTTTACAGAAAAGCAAAAGTTGACTACCAGTATTAGCATCAGAATTTTTACACTGGAAATTTAGTTAGCCTTCTTCTTCATTATGAGTTGTTGCTTCTTCTCTTTTTCTTTATAGGCAATGAATTGAGAGTCTGTACCAAAGATTCTGTCCCACCATGTGAAGGTTGAAGCGTAATTGCCAATAAAGTTCATGTGATGGAAATCATGAAAACGAGCCCCAGCATAGAAAGGCACCAAATGAAGAGGGTTCAGCGGAACATCATAGCCACTACAGGGGAGGGGGAGGGGAAAAAAAGCAACTAGAGTAAGGAATTTTCCCAGATATAAACCACAAAATATAGACACTAACTTGTTGTTTTTATAAAATAACAAGATTTTTTGTTATTATAAGGCCATGAGGTAATGACTGTAATGCTGGCTTAATAGGAAAACAAGATCCATCCTATCGCAGCCAAATGCTTCTGTAAACTATCCCACAATGGCTTTGCCACTTGTTGAACTTTTCAGCTCAGTTTATTAGGCAACACAAAAAAATTTAAGCAAGTAACCTAAAAAAATCACAGTGGCTGACTTCCTGCTGGCTTAGCAGCTTTAACTGACTCAAGAGTGACGTTAGGAAGGAGGAACAAGAAATAACACTATCTTTTAGCGACAAGCTATGAACATCAGCTCAGCTGCTTATCAAACAGCATCTCAAATCAACTACAATTGCAGTATTTCTACTCTTATTTTCAGCTTACTGCAAGCTCTTCAAATGTTTAAAATTCAAAATATACAGTTAAAGTAATATTAAAACCAGAACAGTTTGTTTTAGAGGGATTTCAGCTCTTTTGCTTAGTAGTGCTGGAAAGCATCTTACCACCACCTAGTGGGGACAGCGTGAGGTAATTTGTTATAAACACCTCATGTGGACCACAAATTAAAGTGATAATCATCAGAGATTCATATTTTGCATCAATTACTTTATGATATGTCACAACATATACTTCTCAGTCTACACCCAATATATAATTAAACCAGCAATGATGTGTACAATGAGTTGGTTAGTAGCTCATGTTCCACTAAAACACTTGACACTCAGCTTACAGTAAGTCACTATACGCTTCATAATATATTTACAGAGACAAGGTCAAGTGTAATACTAGCATTTCAAAAATGAACTCTGACTTACCCCTTCCTCTCAAACACAGGAAAGAAAAGCTCGTTCATTTGCAGATGAACCCAGCTAAGCCTACTGGGATTTGCGCTAGCAAAACTTGGCAGAGCCAAATTTGAAAAGAAGCCAGTTATACTACAGAGACAAGAAGTCTTGCCCTTTGTATCTACCATAAATAAATAATTAAATTAAATTTATTTAAATATTTAAAATACAGTCAGTGGTTAGCCTGGTTATAGCCTAAAGTTTCTCTGGCTCAGGAAAACTGGCTGACAAGTATTAAACGGAAAGAACCCTTGGCTGGAATATCGCATTTTGTAATTGGTTTTTGGTGTTCTAATATGCATAAGGTCACTTGTACACCAAATATCAAGAGCTAGACATCCTAATGAGGCACCCAGCTTCTGAAACCCTCCTCAAGATGCTCTAGCTATAGTCTACACTCTTAATCAGCAACATTTGCTATTAACACTACCTCAAAACAGAAGGCAGTGTAACTGTTCAGATTGTGTCATTCTTTGTAAGATGCATAAAAGCATTTCAGTGCAAAATAACCAGTAAAGCTCAGTGAAATAGACAAGTAAGTTTAAGACAGACTTAGGGAGAAGAGAAAAAGCAATTACTAAAAAGCAATAAGGATGTCACCTGTGCACGTCAATGGTTTCCATCAAGCGACATATCACCCATGCCCACAGAAGAATCACATGGTTACAGAAAACAACAATTCCAATAAAAAAGCCAGTTCCAAGGATAAGTGTTTCCAGAGGATGTGCATATTCTGCTTGCATTCCAAATGGAGACTAGAAAGAGATAACAGACAGGAAAACAGTCACCATTTTCAATTTTCTATACCCCCAAATCACAATCACCATTTTGTGGTACTCTCCCCTTCCCATTACCCCACATGACTACAATAGGACAAGCAGAATGATGTTACGGGTAAAGGAAACGGTCTGACCAAGCAAGGGCCTTAACACAGGTGTTCAGCTCCTCGCTGGGAAAACAAGAAACAGTATTCCAAGGTCGTAAGGATTATCATTCCTTTAGTGATTCCAAACACTTCACTACTAGTTGAAAAGTTGAAAACTTATTTAGGCTTACCATTACCCAAGGCCAAAGCATTATTTCAGGAATATTAAAAGTGTTTGGGAAGCTCCTATCAGCTTTGCTATACATCCAGTCTTGGAAGCAGAAGAAAGAAGGAAGCCAAAATATTCTCAGAGTCAGGATTCACTTAGAAATCTATTTAAAAAATAATTAAAAAGCCCCCCTCATCTTTGACAATTTTTAAGATATATTCTTACTATTCAAATACTATTATAAGATTGAAATAAAACATTTTCTTTATATATGTATATATATTTTTATATATATATATAAACAACCCCTAATCATGTCTACATTTGGTTTACAAAAAAAGAAATTCCATAGAGTTTTCAGAAGTAGACCACAATAGAAAGACAATAATTAAAAAAAAATTAACCTAATGCTCAAGGTTGTAAGTTTGATTATCGGGGGGGGAAAAAAAATTCACTTCAGCTTAATTTAAAAATTACTATCAGGGAAAGGTTTTAGTAAAACAGCCATTAGCCTACAGATCACTTCTGTATGAACTGCTAACCACTCAAGAATAATGGCCAGAAACTGCTCCTGCTAAAGACCTGAGGGGCTGCCAAGAACAAGAGGAAAACAGCAGCTGCTGCTGCTGCAGATGTATGTACGTATGCATGCATCAATCAATACCAAGTTTCTCTATTATCACAGCCTGTATAAACCACCTCATACCCAGTAGCTTGCAGTTTACCTTAGGAACAGTATGGGTTACACACTGAAACGCAGCAGTAGACAAACACGGTAGCGCTGACTTCTGTGATCCAGAGAGTGCCATCTAAACGCAGCTATACCAACTCTAATGTGTAAGCACTGCTGGACCCTACCTGCTCAGAACAGTGCCACCTCCAGTCAAGCATGGCTCATTACTTTGTGCCCAATGTCAGCTCCAACACTGCTAAACGTAGAACCACCCAACATATCTCTGTACTGCACTGTGCTCTCCATGCAGTATCACACAACTGGCTATACTGCTTCCAGAGGGCTATATCCAAAGCTATAAGCCTTTCCTGAATCATATATCCTGCATATAACAAGAACACACCCAGGCCATGCAGGAGCCGCCTGTTTGGATGGTGTTCTGGGGATTAGTATACTCTGGATAACACTCTAGGTGGCGGAGAACTGACCAACAATCAAAACCAGAAACCCACCATTTCCCCCTTCCCTAGCATTCAAGCATGTAACACACTTTTAAAAGCTTGCTTTCACCTAGCTCAACGGACACAATCAAACCTCGAGAGTTGGGTGCCACCTTTCATTCCCATTAAATGAAATAAAATTACAGGAGGTGTTTCCAGAAACAAAATGGATGACTGTTCTTGACAAAGAGCTCAAGACAAGACATCTATCCCACTGTCAGAGGGATGCAAAATTCTTAAGTCTTTCAAATAAGACCTTTTAAACAAGTTGTATGAAATCGCCTATGCTAAAAACTACTAAAAAAATAATAATCAAGGAATACATACAACAAACTCATGATGAACCTTATGGATATACTTGTATATTCTCTTGTGATGCAGCAATCTATGCAGGAAATAGTGCCAGGCATCTTCAATCACTGCACATCCAAAACACTGGGCAAGCACAACATACCTTTAAAAGGGAGAAGAGCTATTAGTTATAGACTATACTAGCAGATACACAATCTTGAAAAATATAATAGTTATATTCTAGTAAGGGTGGGAAATGTTTATGTATGTTACTGATTGAATAAGAGTGCATTAACACTACCTTTTTAACATACTAAAAATATTAATTGCCAAGCATGTTAGTCCTTGTACCCATCAGCTCATCTGTTGATATGAAGTGAATTAGCATGAAGTATAACAAACTGTCATTTCAACATAAAGAACACCCACAGACTGTGTAAGATGTACATATAAAAATATACAGCTGCATCAGCTATCTAAACCAGACAGAAAATAAATTTCCAAGAAACATGAGCTTCTGTTGTAAAGAACAGTTATCAGAAAAAAAAAAAAACACAAAATGAAAAGGCATTTAAAAAAAAAAAATCTAGAAAGCTATAACTAGCTCTTATAGCAGTTAAGCATCAACAGAGGCAAAATTAACAAACATAGTTTACATCGCCTAAAAATTATTGTGTGTTAGAGTTGACAACACTATTTGTTAAATACTCTGCCTCCAGCTGTATGTAACTCAGCATCAACATACAAGAAAAATCTACCTACCATCTAGGCATCTCTTCCCACTCATACGGGATGTTAAAATACTCTGTGAAATAATAGGTGCCACAAATCAGAGGAAGCTGAATGAAAAAGTGATTGAAGAGAAGTGTTTTGAAACACTTCCATTGTTTTTCCCATGTTTCTGGTTTATCCTAAGAAGCAAAAAGAATCAGTGGTGTTAGATACTTCTACTGCAAATAACTGAAGTGCTGCAAAAATTACTCTGGAGGCAGTTTCATTTCACCTTGGAAGACAGATAGCAGAATACAAATTAACTCAGGCAATATAAATTCCACGGGATTGGATTCAGTTTCATCAAAACCTCTTGATTTTCTAAGCTAGCTTTCTGTAAAATTTAAAGTAAGTCTCTCTTAACAAAGGTCATCTTTGCCAGTCTCCCCAAACTACTCTTGTTATTTCAGTGTTTGTAATTAGCAGGAACATTTCATATTCTACAGTCTAATACAAATCTAAGTTTGTATTTCCACAGCTAAAGTAATAGAATGTATTTCTATAGCTAAAATAATACAAAGAGAAGCTGAAGATACAAACTTGCAAAGAACTAAGTTGTGTTGACAAGATCCAGTTTTTGCAGGGAGACATTTTACCAATTACTGTAATAATTTCAGAAGCTGGTATTATTAATTTCTAATTCATATTACAAGGAACTGGGGGGAAGCAATCATCTTTAGACACTGGATGTGCATTTGGTACCAATTAGTAGTGTGCAATCCATCCTAGACTTTCTCCATTGTTAAAATACTTCAAAATCCTTTCAAGAGGGTGTGCATAGAGATACTTTGAAAGAGGCACTTGCTATTAAATAAGTACACCATGTAATTCTTTCATAATATTAAGACACAGCTCTACTACCGGATGCTGTGATTCTACTGTACTTTCCTCTGCAGATATATAAACTCACATGGTGAAAATTTAACTTTGCTAACATAGAGATTGACATACTCTTTTCTCTCTGTACCACCATGGTAGAAAGGATACCCTCCCTCAGAAATAACTCCTTTCCTTCCCCAAAATCCACTCCTCTTTCTCTCCTCACACACATTGTAATTTTGCTCTGTCACTTCCAGGGTGTCTACAGTGATAGTGGAAATAGGGTCATATAAATTGGAAACTAGGATACTGCAGTTATATGGTCTACTTCACATATTCAAAGACGAATCAGGAAGTGTGTAGTTCACAACTTTGTCTTACCTGCTGAATTTTATACTTTTGCATGTATGGTATAAACTGAAAGACAAATCCAGGTACACAGAGCAAGAAGTATGAAACTTCATGCACTATAAGTGATCCCCAAGTTGCAATCTGGAACTTTGTGTAGTTATCCAGCATGTAATTCCAGGCATTTTTAAATGGTTGCTGCAATGGATTGTCAGGCAAGAAAGAGTCTATATATTCCACCGCCAGATAAGCAGAGTTCAAGATATTAACGCTGTCGTTCATTGCCATTGTTCAAACATAAAGCATCACAATTACAGTTCTTCTACTGTTGTCTATAAGTAACCTGCAAATTTTGAGAAAAATTAAATAAACAGCAGTTAACCTTCAGAAAAAAAAGCATTACCTATCTTAGTTGTGACCTAGTTTTAAAGTAAAAACCGAGAAAGGAAGGGAAAGACAGATTCTCTTTCTACAGAATAGTGTAAAACAAAGTTTAAGATTGGTTTGAGAGGCAAACCAATTTGAGAGGCAATCAGCTCTCCAGTTTTGAGATTAGGTCAAGGAAGCAAAAGAATAAAGAAATATTAATTATTACCCAATTTTATTTCAAGTCGTTTGCAGGATAATTGTATTCTGTACTAAAAGGGCACAGAAAGGTTCAAACCAGATTTAGAAGTTAAATTAACTGTGATCTCCTATTTATCCAAGCCTCATTCCTCTCATAGCTGTGAGCCAGAATCCACGCAAACTACATCAACACAGCAGACTGCCTTTAGACTGCAGCTAGCTCAAGGCAATCCACCTTTCTGTAAGTAAGGGAGTTTTCATCACAGCTCCCAAGAGCACAGAGGCAGCGTTCCCACAGGGGCTCAGAACTTCTGCCACTTCCACAGAGCAGGCTGCTTGTTGGTTTGGGTGGAAAGGGACCTTTAAAGGTCATCTAGTCCAACCCCCCCGGCCGAGGGTAGAGACATCTTTCACTCAAACTGGTTGCTCAAAGCCCCATCCAACCTGGCCTTGAACACCTCCAATGATGGGGCATCCACAACTTCTCTGGGCAACCTGTTCCAGTGCCTCACCACCCTCATTGTAGAAAATGTTATCCTCATGTCTAACCTAAACCTACCCTTTTTTAGTTTAAAACCACTTCCCCTTGCCTTGTTGCTACAGGCCTTAGCAAAAAGTCTTTCTCCGTCTTTCTTGTAAGCCCCGTTTACATACTGAAAGGCCACAGTAAGGTGCCTCGGGAGCCTTCTCTTTTCCAGGCTAAACAACCCCAGCCCTCACAGACCCTCTCCACAGGCAACGTGCCCTTTGACGACCCCCTCTAACAGGTCCATCTTCCACTCTAAAACGTAAAACGTGTGCACAGTTCACAGGCCGGAGGACGCTGGTTAGTCCCCTGTTGATGCACTCCGACTAGGTCCAACATAAATAACGTGCCAAGCTCGGCATCCAGCAACATCAGTTACCATTTTTCTTCCTTAGCAACGGCACCAAAATGCTACCATTTCTGATTACCAGCAAATACATCACAGCAGATACCGTTTTATTCACGGTAAACACATCACAGCAGATGCCAAGGAAGCTTGCAACCCGAGCGCCTGGGTTGTAAGGCTACTTACCCTCCCGAAAAAGCAGCCGCCTAGCCGAGGGACCAGCGGCCAGGCTGCGCCTGGACCAGGCTCGTCCGTCCCGTCCAGCCCCTGCGAGGACCCTGCGAGGAAGCGGAGAGACCCTGGCACACGCCGCCGGCTGGCAGCGGCCACAGGCCGCCCCCGCGCGGGACGACGGCGGCGAGGAGGGGTAAGCCCAGGGGAGACGCCCGGCCGGCGGCACACACGCACAGCCGGTCCTCCGGGCTGGCACAGCGCCGCACCGCTCCGCTCCGCTCCGCGTCGGGGTGCCACCGGGAGGAGCCCCGCAGCCGGCCGGGCACCGGCACCCGCGCCCCGGCAACGACACGGGCACCCCCGGGTCAGGCCGCGACCGACCGCCTTCCCCCGCCCCCGCGCGCCCCCTCACCTGGGTGACGGCGGCGGC